AAAAAAAAAAAAAAACCTAATACACATGAAAACTTAGTACATGATAAAGATGGTATCTCAGATCATTGGGGCAAGATGGACTTTTTAATCACAAGAGCTTTAACAAATGGGTGGCCATTTGGCAAAAGAAAAAATTAGATCCATACCTCCAAACAACACAAAAATAAAATCCAAATGGATCAAGGAAACTCAAGTAAATAAAAGAAAGCAAACAAGTATTAGAAGAAAACACGGGTGAATTTCTCTTTTATCTCCCTCAGTACAGAAAATGACTTTCTAAGGACTCAAAATCCAGAGGCATCAGCAGAAGACTAACAAACGTGACTACTGAAAAACAACAACTGCATGGCAGAAACACCTTATGTAAGTCAAAAGACAACTGACAAAGTGGCAGAAAATCTGCAAGACGTATCCCTGACAGACGGTTACTAACCCTAACATATCAAGAACTCTCAAGAGGAACCAAAAACCCCGCTGAAAAAGAAATAGACAATTCACAAGAAAGGTAAAAGAACAGCTCTTAAACATAGACGTAGGTGTTCAAACGTACTCATAAATAGAGAAATGCAAATTAAACAATATTGAAATACTATTTCCTACCAATCAGATTTGTAAAAAGTAACAAGGATGACAGAACATTCTGTCGGTGAGGCTCTGGGGAAACCAGCACTCAAACACACTGCTCACATAAAACAAACAGGCACAACCCTTCCGGAGGGAAACAAAGCAATGCCTAACAGGACTACCCGATGCTCTCAACCCAGACCAGCAATGCCACTTTACCTAACAGAGCCACCAGAACCCAGACCAGCAATGCCACTTTACCTAACAGAGCCACCAGAACCCAGACCAGCAATGCCACTACAGAGCTACCTGATGCTCTCAACCTGGACCAGCAATGCCACTTTACCTAACAGAACTACCCGATGCTCTCAATGCTGACCCGATAGTGCCACCTTTAGGAATTTACCCTGAATGAACATCTCCAACAAAACTAAGACACACAGGCCTGAGGTTTTTCATTGTGAGTTCACTGGAAACAACTTAAAAGCCCATATGTAGACTAGTAGTGGCTTAATCAATTGCACATTCACAGGATACGGCTGTAAAAAAAAAGAAGAGAATCTCTATGTACTGATGTGGAGTGATTTAGGACATTAAGTGAAAAAAGCAGAATGCAAAAGAGTATCCACAGTGATGCTATCCTTCTATGTATGTGCTCATTTGTGGGGAAAGGAAAAAAAAAAAGCATAAAATCAAACCTGATGTGTGTGAAAGGTGTCTGCGGAAGCCTGGTAGAAAGCATGGGCAAATGGGAACTGATACGGTTTGGATGCTTGTGCCCTCCAAATCTCACGCTGACCTGTAATCGCCAGTGTTGGAGGTGGGCTCAGTGGGAAGTGACTGGATCATGGGGGCACCCCTCATGGATGGTTTAGCACCGTCCCCTTGGTGATAGCTCAGTTCTCACTCAGCTCATGCAAGATCTGGGTGTTTAAAAGTCTGGAACCTCCCTGCTCTCTTGCTCCCTGTCTTGCCATGTGACAGGCTGGCTTCCCTTCACCTTCTCCCATGACTGGAAGCTCGCTGAGGCATCCCCAGAAGCAGATGTTGGCACTATGCTTCCTGTACAGCCTGTAGAACCAGGAGCCAATTAAACCTGTTTTCTTTATAAATTACCCAGTCTCAGGTACTTTTTTACAGCAATGCAAGAACAAACCAACACATCCTTAGAACCATGGTAATGTTTTACACACTCGATAACAAGTTGTAATCAACCAGGATCTGGGGGAAATTCAAAAAGGAATACAAATACGAATAAATGAGTCCAACTGTATTAAAAACAGATACCAAGGAAAGAATTAACCAATGTAACTTAAGAAAACACTATAGGCCAGGTGTGGTGGCTCACATCTGTAATCCCAGCACTTTGGGAGGCCAAGGCGGGTGGATCACAAGGTCAGGAGTTCAAGACCAGCCTGGGCAACATAGTGAAACCCCGTCTCTACTAAAAATACAAAAATTAGCTTGGCGTGATGGTAGGGACCTGTATCCCAGCTACTTGGGAGGCTGAGGCAGGAGATTCACTTGAACCCAGAAGGCGGAGGTTATGGTGAGCCAAGATCGCGCTACTGCACTCCAGCCTGGGCAACGAGAGCGAAACTCTGGCTCAAGAAAATTAAAAAAAAAGAAAACACTATATAACTGTATTCTGTAGGGCCAAAGGTAATAACACATTATCACAAATACTGTATTCAAAAAATTCACAAGGGCATGGATTAGCAATTCCAGAGCTACTCAGTATACATATACTAGGACTAAGCAAATAAGTCAATATATTGTGGATAATGAGAGCCAGGCTTCTCACTGTTGGAGAATGGAATTAGAAACAGAGGTAACTTGACCACGTCTGTAATTCTGTTATAATAAATTTAAATGGAAGTAACAGTATGAATGCATAGACAGAGACAGAGACAGATAGAGAGAGAGAGAGAGAGAGACAGAGAGACAGAGAGAAACAAGGAGAGGGAAAGGCTGGAATGAATCCTGTGATATGGTGTGGAATCAGGAGTCAGCATGAACTCGTGTTTCTCGTACATACACAGAGGGACAGATACAGAAGCAGGCATGTGTGTGCCTGTACGCATGTCCATACATTTGCCTAGCTCTGTCTGCTGAACAGCGCAGTAACAACTGTGAGCACAGCAGCTTTGAGCACCCCGAGTGACCAGGTCTTGGTGTCTCAATGCCATTAGAATAGGCCATCAGGAAAGAGTTGCTTAGAGAAAGGCTAGAGTACAGAAGTCCGTGACAGGACACCTTGTACTGCCAAGAAGACAGAAAGCGCTCAGAACATGCTGGAGACATGCTGAAAAGACAAGCCACTAGATGGAGCTCCAGACTGCCAACTCTGGGACAATTTGAGCAACCAACTAAACGATGATATTAACTATAATCCACAGAGTAAAATAAGTATGTGTCCATACTGATATAAAGAATTGAATAAATGGGAGAGAAAGGACAGCTCTTCCTTCCAGCAGAGTTCCATTAATCAATGCAAATACAACAAAGGAAAAAGAAAGTCATCACAGTTGTCAAACTCCTCAGGAGCAATCATGAAAGGCAAGAACCATCAAGGCATGCTAACATGAGTGAGTAGAAGTATATGAAGAAACCAGACCATCTCTAAGCATACCCTCCATGAGACAGGAGTCACAAAGGAAACACAGGGGCTGCACGGTGGAGACACCTAGCAGGTGCCATTCTGGCTCCACAGGGCCAGTGGCTAAGGTCTCCTGCAAAAGCACTGCAGGCCGACACTGCAGCTGCCACCCTCGGGTCCTTACCATGTCTGTGCCAAGGCCATGCATCCCCTGGGGCTGCTCCCAGCCAATGACTGAGCACAGGGGAGGCACTAGGCCAGGCCCATACCTGTGGGACACAGGACTCCTCCAACAGGCAATTCGGTTCAAGGATTTCCCCTCAGGCAAAACTTTTTCAGACCTGTTCGAGCCTCTTCCTCCCCAATCTTCCTACCTCTTTTTGGTGTCAGATCAGCACTGCAGTCCTTGCCTGTTCCACACCCTTCTCTTTATCCTTCAGAGGCCCACATGCCCCACAAATCTTCTGAACATCTAATTCTAGCTTGGCGTCTGTTTCTTGGAGGACCCAGACTGACAGACCACATTAATCAAATGGTGAAAATGACCACCACCAGTAATAAGATGAAGGAAAACAGAGGAACCAACTGTGATTAGAGGAGACTAAGAAGACAGGACAATGAAATGCAACGTGGGATCCTGCACTGGAACCCAAAGAAAGGACCTGTGGGACAGCGGGCTGAATCTGAATCTGAATCTGCAGTTGGCAGTGCTACACCAAGGTTCGTTTCCAGGCTCTAAGGCTCAGACTGTGGTTATGGAAGATGTTTAGGTTAGGGAAAGATGGGTGACAGACAGGGGGTTCTCAAGAACTATTTGTGAAACTTTGCTGTCAATCTAAAATCATTTCAAAATAAAGGGTGAAAACAAAGTGGGGACCAGGCCGGATAGGAGCACCATGGGAGCTGGTGAGATGTATGTGGTCTGCAGGTGAATTACAGTAGTGTCAGTCTTCATATGTTAGTTTTAACAGCTGTACTCCAGCCATCTGAAATGGTGGCATTAGGGGAAACTGGGCCAATCTTGCATGACAACTCTCTCCTATTTTTGCAAAATTTCTGCAAACCTAAGATTATTTCAAGATTCTAAAAAACTAAACAACAAAAGCAAAAAACCCTCAGAAATCATTACTTTTAACCATTTATATTAAAGATAACATCGGTAAGTTGAAAGTAGCTACCCGTTCCACCAGCAGCACCCTGGTAGAAGCAGCAGCAAAACTTCTCCGAGCAGCCTGAGAATTCTGTGCTTAGTTATATTTGGTTTTGAGGCTTGTATTTTGTGCAGAGGGAAACTTGCCCACATCCCCGCAAAGCACAGAAAGGCCCATCAGCAGGGCGGCACACTGACCTTGCCTGCGGCTTGTAGCTGTTGAGGATCTGATAGGCTCTGAGGAGATCGAGCTTGCCGTGGCCTTGCTCGAACATGTTGACCCCAGGGAGCCTCCGGGCTGACGCAATCAGGGCCTGCTTCATGCTGGCAGGATTCACCAGCTCACGCTTCTGGACTGTGCTGGAGGAAAAATCAAGCATTTGCTCATTTTCTCTGAGTAAAAGAATGAAAATCAGACGACCAAAACCTAACCTACAAACGTGCACATGCAAGGCCCGCAGTCTTGTTTTGTATCTAACGGGAGCTTATCTGGCAGAGCCTATGTGAGATGAGAAGGAGTGTGCACTCATTTCTGTACCTGCTCCAGGACTCACCACTCCGCAACCTTCTATGAGACCCATAGGCTAGGGCGGTTTATGCAAATGCATCCGTAACACACGTTTTTCTGGTAATTCAACTACATGACCACATAGGCTGCAGAAAGCATGAGTATGTAAAAGGTACTGACTACTTGTGGGAGGGGAAGGCTGCTAGCCACAGAAGACACCACGCGGCACCACCTGGCTGGGAGGAGGAGCACACACGGATCCTGGGGAGGAGCCACGACACAGGACTGGCAGGAGGCACGGGTCTGAGTGAGGACCACGGCCTCCAAAGCCAAAACTTGTCTTCTTGTTTCCAGATTGGGAGGCTTGTCTGGGATGAGCCACCCTGATGGTGATGACTTTCCGAACCATGCAGACCTAAAGCCATCTTCAGAGTTTCACCATGAGAATGCATCTAAACAAACTTTAACATGCAGCACAACACGGCTAGGAACTTAGCCTGGCGATACTAGCATTAAAACATCAATTTCTGTGTATCCATGTATTATCAATACAAGTCAATTTTAATTCCTAAAAGTGAGGGGGGAAATCAGTAGGTTAAAAAAAAGGAAAATGTATCCCCCTAAGTTCCTAAATATTTGTATATGATGGTGGTTGGTCTTGGAGTCTAGTCACATTTTCTAAAGGGCAAATCTGACATAAGAAGAGGAGATAAAATAGAATTGTTAATGACAAAATAAAAGAACTGCTCAAAGCTACAGGTCAACAATCTTCCCCCTCTTCTTGCCTATAAAGCGAACTCAAAAGCTGTGTTCCCCTGCCTTTTACCGCATCATCAGAATGGAGCTTGGGAGGCCCGCCACCGCTTCTATTACAAGCGACTATCACAGAGGTGTTTCTCAATGATCGCAACCGCATTTTTATCTGCTGCAGTGAGATGAGACTGAAAGGCTTCCTTGTTGCTGAAAATATGTGTACTTAAAGAAGCTGCTGAGAAAGGGAAACACAACCCGTCGGCTGTCTGCTTACTGAACAGCAGAGAACTGACAGGCTCAGCGGTGAAGGCAGAGCCCTCATTTCCTGCTAACAATCATAGCATGTAGGACAAACAAACCAGCATTTTCTGTTTCCAGAATCAACAAGATTAGAAACAGGGGCCCTAACTGAATTCACTCCACCTGGCCAATACAAGCATGGAAAGTGGGCCCGGTAGCCCACAATCCACCTTCCCTATTCAGCTGAGGTAAGAGCGGAGAGAGGAAAACAAGAGAGGAGACGGTGTTTCCAGCAAGCACGCAGTTATGCTCCAAAGGCCACTCTGGCCAACATCAACATTTTCAAGAATTTGGCTCCAAACTATAAGGGAAGAATAGAGAAAAGGGAGAAAAGGTAGGTATCTACCCCTTTTTTTGATAGAGACGGGGTCTCACTGTGTTGCCCCAGCTGTCCTTGAACTACTGGCGTCACACAATCCTCCCGCCTTGGCCTCCCAAAGTGCTGGAATTACAGGTGTGAGCCACCGCAACCAGCCCGATATCTAGCTTTATTAAGAATTACTAACAAAATATTATTTGACATTACAAGCTAAAATCAACATTCAAATTACTTAAAGAGAATTTAAAATATAAAAACATTTAATATTATTTGCCTATATTAATTTTTAAATTAGCATAGAATACAATAACTTTCAAATATGCAGAGCTTTGTGTGTTATCACAACGTAACAGCTCAACTAAAACTTCATCTAGATAGAAAAAGTACGATATATTTTGGGGGAAAATACAGTGACAAGATAAACGCCAGACCCAAAGACATCTTTTTACAACTAAGAATAAGGAAACATGGGCCTCCGATGAATGAGTGCATGTGAACTTCAACTCTGGCCTACTCGCTTTGAGAATTTTATTGATTTATTTATTTTTTGAGATGAAGCCTCGCTCTGTCACCCAGACTGGAGTGCGGCGGTGCAATCTCAGCTCACTGCACCCTCCTCTTCCTGGGTTCAAGCAATTTTCCTGCCTCAGCCTCCCGAGGAGCTGGGATTACAGGCACCTACCACCACACCCAGCTAACTTTTACATTTTTAGTAGAGATGGGGTTTCGCCATGTTGGCCAGGCTGGTCTTGAACTCCTGAGCTCAGGTGATCAGCCTGCCTCAGCCTCCCAAGGTGCTGGGATTACAGACATGAGCCACCGCCCCCTGCCTCTTTGAGAACTTTCTATCAGTTCCATTATCTGCAAGATTAAGGGCCAGTCACTAAGCTGCATTCCAACTGCATGAGATCCAATCAGACAAGGTGGAGCAGTGACTGCCAGCCGCTGATGGGCTGGACACCCTTAGCTATGGAGTACATCAACAGGTGAGTCCCTGTCACAAAAACAACAAATGACTAACACCGTGAGAAGGTGATGTGCTCATTTGTTTCACTAGAGTAACCTTTTCACTATCTATATGTATCCTATAACATCACTTTGTATACCTTACACATACACAATAAGACTTGGTGAATCCCCAAGGAAATGGAGGATATATGGCAGGGAAATATCTTACTTTTTGTTCCCTGCCTGATACATATGCTTGCTTGGATGTTAACAGTTCTAGCACATAATGGGATACGAGAACACAAACATAGAGAAATGGGTGTTTTGTCGGTCAGCACTTTGTTTACTCGGGCTATAGAGTGCGGTCACATTCGTGTCATTCTAACTATAAAAGAAGCGACTCCTACCTCTTTGCAGAGATGAAGAAGGAGAGACAGAGCAAAGCTGTGAAGGGCCGAGGCTCTCAAACCCAAGACAGGGCAGAAGCAAGACTCGACTCCTGCCCTGCTGGTACCCGGTGCTCCTGTCCTGGCGTGGGAGCTGCTGGTCTCTGAGGGGCAACACTCACCTCACTAATAAGGTGACGGCACCTGCAACCACTGGAGAAGCAACACTGGTCCCTGAGAGGGCCCGGCACCCGCCTTTCACGCCGGAACCCCGCACGCCAGCACCATAGGTGACAATGTCAGGTTTCACGCGACCGTAGCCTCCTGGTAGCTCCTATAAATAAAAGCAGCTTGGTTTCTACAGCTGGCACATTGGCACACAGTCACGTGCAATTATGAGTGAATCAGATCAGAATAGACATATGGGTTAATAACAGTATAACCTTAGGAAGATATTGGTTTTAGTGTGAAATTCACTCTAGGCCAGGTGCAGGGCTCACAGCTGTAATCCCAACCCTTTGGGAGGCTGAGGCAGGTGGACTGCTTGAGCCCAGGAGTTCTAGAATAGCCTGGGATACACACCAAGGTCCCCATCTCCACAAAAAAATACAAAAATTAGCTAGATGTAGTGGCACATGCCTGTAGTCCCAGCTACTCAGGAGGATCACCTAAGCCCAGGAGGTCAAGGATGCAGTGAGCCATGATTGTGCCACTGCACTGCAGCCTGGGCAAGAGTGAGATCCTGTCCCCCACTTCCCCCCTGAAAAAGAGAGAGAGAGAGAGAGAAAAGAAATTCACTACAATACCGAAAAAAAAAAGCTTAAATGATAATGTAGAAAGTAAAATTTTAAAAATACATTTTATAACAAGCAGAACAATAGCAAAGCCATAAAGCAATTAAAAGATAAGTATTTTAATCTTGCTAACATGCAACACTAGCAAGTGGACACTGGCTTATCACGAAGACCAGAAACTGGAAAGTGCTTTATCTCTGAATAAGTTAAAATTAGAAATATGTTAGAAAAATTAGAAAATTAAAATATAAAAAAACCCAAACATGTTTCTTTACAAGGAAAGAAATACATGGTATGAGTGGTTGTTGCAAACCATCGTAAAAGAGAAAATAAGAAACCACTTAGAAGGAGCAGGATCACCAGACAACTCACTTGGGATAAGATTTTAACTTAGTACTCGCTCAAGCTTCCTAAGAATTGGGGCAAAACGAGAATTATAACAGAATCTCATATTCTGTCAGTAACAGGAGACCAATTTGAAGGGAAAGCCCTTCCTGATCATCAAACCCCTGGGACGGCAGACGCACACACTGGGGTGCCGAGTGAAGGCATCCTGCACCACAGCTCTGTAATGATGGAGGAAAGTTTCTCAAATGCCATTAAAAAGCTGGCTGGTTCCGTGTTCACATTGCTATAAAAAAAATAAATAAATTTGAAAAAAAAAAAGCTGGCTGGTGATGAAGGCCATGGACACGACATCTCATCATGGTTCAATAAAGCGCTGACACAGGGAGCTGGAGGCAAACTGGCAGAAGCAGGTTCCTAGTACCAGGCAGCACAAAGCACATGCCAAGGGAGTGCGGACAGCAGGACATGCATCCTGCCCCGGACTGATGTCACATGAGAGAGTGCTCCCCAGCCAACGGGGCAGCTCCAGGAAGAGGCACCTGAGTGTGTGAGGCAGGGGAGGGCTGGAGGCTAGTACTGTCACAGTACAAAGGCTCAGGGTGAAGGCTCCCCTGTCAAGTGCTACAGTGTGGATGAGGCCCACAGTGTTCCCAGGCAGCTGGGAATCTTTCCAGGGACTTATCCAAGGCCTCCGAGTATGTCAACTTAAAGCACCAAGAGGTGTTCTGACCCTGAAGAATTTGAAGAGCGGGTGCTCCCCTCAGCCACTGCCAGGACAAAGGTACTCAAGTACCTTTGAGTGCTGCTCTGCACAAGCGTCTAATTTTTCATCAAACTTTGACAGGTAAAGGAGGATGAATTCACTGCATAATTAAACCCCAAGCAGCTGAATTATTAACCGTAGCTGTTATTTTGAATTTGTTCAGCTAAATACAATTATTTCTGTGTTGGCAGAGTTGATATTAAGCTGTTCTTAATGGCTTCTCCAACTTCCTAAGGTCAAAAAAAAAAAAAAAAGTTCATCTCACCTATCATTGAAGAGGACTGCTTAGCTCTACTAGAGAGGGTAAATGGGCAGAAACCCAATTCACCACAAAGTGAGTTCCTCAGAAATCAGTTAATAAGTGGAACTGGGAAACACCATCTAAAATCAGCCCATGCTCAACACAGCAGCTGTGGACTTGCCAGAGTGAAGTGGCAGAGGCTGAAGGGGCCAGATCTCTCACTCTCAGGGCTGGGCAGGCACTCATAGCCCCGGCTATTCACCCGTGATTGTGAGGGTGTCTGTGCACTTACAAATACACCTCAAGGCTCGTCAACAAATGGTGCCACTAGCCATGGTAGTTTCTCCAGCTAAATACAATTATTTAGCAAAGATAAGCATACCCAGGTAGTCATTCCCCTTGAAGAAAAGCGGGCAATGTTATCTTCAAAGTCAATGCCGCCTACTCCAATCACATCCATTTGATCTGCAGGGTTATTCAGAGTGCTGTATCGAGACAAAAGAAAAACAAGAGAAGAGAAATAATTTAAAACAAATGCTTCAAACCAGGGCGAATATTCCCAGAACAATCTAAGACTTTATGAGGTTCTTCTGCGGGAAGAGTTGTAAACTCTGACGGACTGCAGCTCCTCACGGCTATCCTGTGAAACAGATATGACCCCGCCACATTCATGCTGTGCTCAAATTACGTCCTCTCACCTGGAATGCCCCTCGTTTCTTCTCTTCCCTGTCAACTTTGCACACTGGGGCTAAAAGGCGAGCTCAAGGCTCACCTTTTCCCTCCAGCACTCCAGGTCTTAAGAATCTGTACTTGCCTTGAACTTCATGCTTAACACGATCACAATTCATCACCTAACAACACATTCTCACATCACTTTCAAATTGTTCCTGGTACATTCATCTTAACTTTCCAACTAAATCAGACACTTCTCTGGGCAGAAACCGTAATCACACATTTGCATCTGCCAAAGTCAGGAAGTTGTAAGTTTTCAATTGACCTGCGGTGTTGTTCCACCTGCCTCATAGGGAACTGTGGAAGGACTATCATTATTCTGTCATCTTGAGCTCCTTAGAGGAAAGACCTAAGACACGAGGAAAAAGCCACAAAGTCTCTCCAATACCTTAAGTGCACTAGATCTGCAAAGAAATTATAGTGAAATAAATAATGGCAAAAATGTATAATCCATAAGTCAAAATAAAGACGAACTATTTGAAAGTATGAGGCACTCAGTTATAAAACTGCATTGCTAAGCTTTATCTATTATGGCTTCACTAACAAAAAAAAAAATGAACTCTTTTGACAAAGAACTACAACTGATTCCAAGTGGCTTAAGAGATAATAGTAGCATAAAATTTTAGTTCTAGAGAGTGTGTTTTTAACTGACAATTCCTAACCACACCAAGCCAAGGTGGTACTGCCTTCTCAGCTCACTGGCCACCAATATCACACCAGCTGGTCATTCAGAGGCACCAATAATCATTTTCTGTTGACTGACACTAGACGTTTACATACTCCCAGGAACTCGAGGAGCAGAGGCTGGGACAGAAGTCACTGATAGAAACTCCCACTGAAGTTGACCAAAAAGGTACCACTTCCCACCTTCCTCTACCTGTCAATCCCTACAATGCTTAGTGTACTTTAACCCTTTAAAAATAAGGGAAGACATCGAGAAATCATTACTGGTATTGAAAATTGAAAAGGAGGGAGGTGAGGCCGCAGGCTCGCTAGCACCACAGAGTCTCAGAGCACCAGGGCACAGGACACAGAGAAAGAGACTACAGCAAAGGGGACCAGAGAATGCATGCCTTACTCCCAGAGGAGCTGACATATGCATGTTACTGTCCTCAGACCAGCCCTGTGAGCAGTCCCACCAGATGCCCAAGCAGTAAAAACCATACCTCTATCACAAGCTGGGCTGCCTTGATCACATGCCATGTCCAGTCACTTCAAGACACAGCCAGCAGGTGGCCAGGTCTGTATGAGGCAGCAGGAGCATACATGAGGTGGAGACAGCCTTCCTTACAAGGCTCTGCTCCTTCAACATACTATAAACTCACAACTCTGCTAAGAAGCTATGGAGTACAACCACCCACAAAAGCCACAGGGGTACAGAACGGCAGCCAGCGTGTGACAGTCAGAACAGCATGTGAAAGAGCCGGGAATCCAAACAGGTATGGCCAGGAGGATGAGCAGAGGGAAGAGGTGCAGAGGACTTGAAACAAACAGGAGGAGATTCATTCCAGGAAGATGTGTGGGACGCCGTGGAAGGGGAAGGTGAAACAACAGATTCTGGCTGGAGTTGGCCAACTACGACCCATGAGCCAAACCAAGCCCATACCTGTTTTTACAAATACGGCATTCCTGGAACAAAGTCATGTTCATTTACACATATATCACCTACAGCTGCTTTCGCATGGTAAGGCTAAAATACTTTTTACCTGACCCTTTACAGGAAACGTTTGCAATCCAGCCTAGAATACTGAAGACTTTGAAAACCAAAAGAAAAATGTGGATTTCAGCTATTAGACAATAATAACCCACTGCAGATTCTTGATTAGAAAACTGCTAGAATATATGTTTCAACAGTAGAAATACACACAAAAAAGAAAAAGAGAGGCTGTCATTCACAGAGCATCATCAGTGTTCACGCGCTCTCCCCCTGCTGTCTGATGTCAGCCTCGCAGGCAACATGTGGGCTTCTCTCTGCCCCCATGACAGGTGAGGGAGCTGAGGCTCAGAGAAGTGAGGGTGCCTCAGGCAAAAGTGGCAGGTCGGACCTGTCTGCTTCCACACCTAGTTTCATCCCTATCCATCCTGGAAGTGCTGGGGTGGAAAAAGACTCAAGATAGGAAGACAGGCTATGAAACACAGACACCCCAGTGACTGTGAACTGCTGAGTGCCACACTTGAGTGGGGACATCAGAAATAGCAGAAACATTTAAAAGGGAGACAGGAAAACCCGACGAGGTGACTTAATAACTGGTGTTTGTCATGGCGGAGCTACAGTTAGGGTATGTTCATGCCACTTACATCTGTGGCTCATGATACGTATTACTGACACCACGGCAAAATCCAGAACCCTGCACTTCTAACAAGGGTCAGGATCATGTACTCCACTATTAGGCTAGAACCCTATGAATGCCAATATCTGTGTTTTCTGAGATATACAAACATGAACTTCACAGAGCTTCACCTCACACTATGCCCTGGACACTTCGTAAAGCATCCTACAGAAACTTTAAGCACAAGAAATGATTTATACACGTTATCTAGAGAATTAAATGAAGCTGCGTGTGGAAAGAAAACTGAGACCTCTAACCAGACAGGAGTGTACTGGCTTGGATTCAGTGGCAAAGGTTTCACATCTCATGCTGCCTGAGTTGAGCACAAAGGCCCCCCTGTGACATTGAACTCCCTGCGTCTCTCCTAAATGATCCCTCTCATCCACTCCCAAGCACCGTCCATGCTGCTGTTAGGCCCGCCGGCACTTCCTCTGTGAAAGAGTGCCACTGTGCTCGCACCAGCTCTCTTGGAGGGTGGCAGAAACCTCTTTCGTTTGCTCTGCACACAGATCTCAACACTGCAGAATCCCTTTCTGATAAATTCACTTCTCTGCTTTATTCTGGGCAAAAAGTAGTTAGAATAAAAACTTCAGGCCTCTAAATTACTATCTGTAACAAGTTTTTAAAAATATATAAATAGAAAGAAGACTGGCCTTAAGCTGACAGCTGCTGAGGCGAGTGGCGAGTACCTGGGCGCTCATCGCACACCCTTATTATTTTTTTAAGTGAGGAAAACATCCTTGAGACAAGGTTTTAGACAGATATAAACAGGTAAGCATAGGTGGATACACAAACAGATAACAATTTTTCAGTTATTTAAGGGGTAAAAAATCCCCAAGGTCATCCCTGCTGGGGCTACTTACCCATAAAGAGGTCCGTCATTGCCAATAGCAGAAACCATGATTACATTGTTAGCTGTTAATTCCCACACCTACAAAACGAGCATTTATTTAATGAAAGTATACCACTCTTAACATATAACTGTCAAAAAAACCACATATAATGTCTAAAAACAGTCCTAAAAAAGAAGCACTGGACTATTATAAAGGTGGAAGTGCCTGGCAACTTGCAGGGGTAGAGAATAACACCCTGGACAGAGAAGCACACTGCACAGAGCAGATGCTGACTTCCTAGTCACTTTCAGGAAAATACAGGTTGCATGTTTAGATAAGAAAGAATCAGCTGGGTGTGGTGGCTCACACCTGTAATCCAGCGCTTTGAAAGGCTGAGTTGGGTGGATCACCCAAAGTGAGGAGTTTGAGACCAGCCTGGCTAACACAGTGAAGCCCTGTCTCTACTAAAAATACAAAAAAGTTAGGCGATTCGTGCCTGTAATTCCAGCTACTTGGGAGGCTGAGGCAGGAGGGTCGCTTGAACCTGGAAGGCGAAGGTTGCTATGAGCCGAGACTATGCCATTGCACTTCAGCCTGGCCAAAAAGAATGAAACGCCATCTCAAAAAAAAAAAAAAAAAAAAAAAAAAAGAAGAAGAATCACCATGGCACCATGTGCTCCTTATAAACACCTACTCTGAGGCTTCCAACCCACTCAATTTATGACATGCAAATCACTGAAGCTCAGGTCATTAGCCATCTGTTCTCACAAAGCTGTCACCACCTGGCTGAAAAGCCACCAACACACTAGAAATGACGCAGGTTGGGCTGCGAAAGAGCAGGAGCTGTCACCCAAACCCTGTGTGCAGTGACTCCACAAACCTTGTCGACAAAGGGATGATCCATGAAGTCAGGGCCGCCGATGCTGAGGTTTAACACGTCAATCCTCTTTAAGATGGCATAGTTGAAGGCGTCCAAAAACCAAGACGTGTAAGATACCTAGTTAAATATGAAAAAAGTCCTCTTCGTGTTTCAATAAAGTCTTAAAGTGCTAGGACAGTTTTTATTTCTAAGGCTCTTAAAATCATAAAGTACTTCTTTATTTTTTTAACTTAAGACCAGAAATAAATCCTGAGTACAAATAATACTCCAAAGAGTGAAATACGACACCTAGAAGTTCTAAGTCTTTGGAGCTGAACCTAAGGAAGAGGCAGCTGTGTTCTGTAGGGTGGCCTATCTCTCTAGGTGAAATGCACAGCTCTCTACACAAAGAATGCCTTCCTAGTAACACTCACGCTTCCAACTGCCCTTCTCTTTTAAAAGGACTTATCCCAAGGCACTTCTATTAAGTTAAGCATTTTGGAATAGTTCAACTTATCTGTCTAATCTTCTTCATTCCCAAACAGACTTAAGGACAAATGGCATCAGTAACAGTTATTTCACAGTATTAGTCCTCTGATGTTCAAGTGCACCTATGTACCTTACAAAAGCTCAATTACTTTCTGGATCACCTTCAGTTGCTTTTTTAAAAATAAAAAATTAAGTTTACAGTAGGAAGAGAAGCAATGTAATGATTAAGAATTATGTTTTTAAAAGGCTTTTAAAAGACCGCCTATTTATATGTTCTTATATACACCAAAGAAATGAGCATTGTCATACAGGAGACACAGCCAAGTGGGGAAAGAATGTGCTGCACAGGGACAGGGATGGGGGCCTCACTGTATTACCTCCTGACATTTCTAAGCTATGCATTACCTATTCAAAAATTAACCTTAAAAAACAATGAAAAGTGAAACCAACAAATACTAGGATCCTCTCCCTTTTCTACAGTTTCCAAATGAACAGTCAAGGAACAAGGCTTGCAAATTCACATTACCCAACACAATGCCAGGTGTCAGGACACAGAGGTAAATAAAACAGTCCCCACACTCAAGATGGTAGGAACTCAATCAGGGAGGCAAACACATACACTTATTCTACGTGCAATTTGTTCTATTCCATCATGCAGACACACAACTAGGGGTACAGAGGCCTGGGGAAGCCTAGAGGTAGAGAAGAAACAAGGGAAATCAAAGACTCGTTGTAAGCAGTAGCCTTGGCAAGGTCTTCAGAGTTCAAGTTAGATGGACACAGCGGGTGGTGGAAGAAGGGCGGAGCCAATCAGGAGGCAGTGGAACAGTAAACTGGGCACACATGCTGTGGTACAAACGGCTCAGCGTCACTGATGTGCACTCCTTTTACACAAATGTGTACAGTCCAGTGATTGTGCTTTTTACATTTCAGTATGAATTCCTCAAGTTTCAGGGGTCCTCAAAACACCTACCTGATTGTTGGTAAAGACCCTGAAAATATGAAGTTCTGCATCTGGAGCAAATCCTTGGCACTCCCTCATGCTGGCTATCACACCTGCCACGAATGTGCCATGGCCCAACCCTGCAGTCCACAAAGAAAAAAATCCCATTAAACACATTTGAAAGCAAGTGCCAGGATGCAACATTCCAGGCCATGAGTTCCAGAGCCTTCAATTTCCAAGTGCTGGACAGGGTAGAGCCTCTGCTGCTGCTCTACGTTCCCTTGGGCGTCACCCGGCACAAGCACCCCTTCAAGGACTAGCCAACTCCACGCCCTCCGGACAGGGAGCTGCCCCTGCACCAGGCATCCCCACCATCTCCTGGAGTGCTACTTCCCAACATCCTCTAACATAATCAGAGAAGTTCCTGACGCACAAAAAAGGCACAATATCAACTTGGGATTGTTTGAATAACTGTTGGATACAGACTATGGAATCCTGCACAAAACACACTCTCAATGGATCAGAGAGGATGGGAGTGATATCCCACATCCACAGGTGGCCGTCCTCTCCCCGCCGCTGAGACCCACCATCATCCAGCGTTCTCTCGTTGGTCCAGTTGGTTCTTTCCTTCACATTTTTGAAATGGGGATGCTTCTCGCTCAGTCCAGTGTCAAAAACAGCAACTCTTACATTAGCACCTTATTCGGAAAAGCAAGCAAACACAATCACGTTTGAAGATACCAGCTTTTTAGACTTTGCCTATAACATACATTCCTCCCAGGAACCCACAGAAAATGACACACTGTGGAAGGCCAAAGCCTGCTCACAGCAAACAAGTTAGGTCAGCTGTGCCCAGGGTAGCTGTCTGAGCCAAGAAAAGAGGACAGCAGGAGCAATGCCATCATCTGCCACCAAGTAAGATTTAAGGATAAGCAGAAAATCCTCCTAGACCCTCCGCAATTGCCACCAGTGCTTAGCATGGAACCACCCCTTCCACTCCTAGCAGGCTTCTCAAGGCTGCAGGCTGGCACCTACTGATACTCCCCTTCTGGCAGTTTACCACAGGTCTCTACCCCGCACCTTCTCAGAGACCCTGCAAAACACTCACAAACCGCACACCCAAGGAGCAGGGCACAGAAAATGGGAAACAGGGGAACCATTCCTATTCCCAACAAGGAAGGCAATTTACTCAATGCAGCTCATTTGTAAAAAGGCAAACTCTGCTAGGAGGAACTACTAACACCACATGGGGCTAATCACACTGGAAGAAAAATCACTGCAGCATGCACTTTGCTGTAACAGTAAGTTGATTCCAGATACTAGCCAAAGCCATCGACCCCAGTGTGAAATACAACTGGCCTTTCTGACCAAAAATTCTAGAAAGCATTAAAATATAGAATGCCTATATTACTTAACAGGTAACCAATGTAAGAAGGGTGATGTCTTTCTGGCAAAAGGGCTGTTTTACATATCAATACTATGTTAAATAATCCATTAAACTGAGATAACTATAAAAATTAATGTTACTTTTAAAAAATGCACACACAAAATTAGAAAGCATTTGGTTTGGGGGAAATAAAAATTATTTCTGATGATTAGAAAATGTGTTTTGTGAAGCAGTTCTCATTCTAAAAAGGTAAAACCATGAAGAGCCACACATTTTAACGAAATGCCAGTCCACCAGGTATTAAAAGCTGAAGCATCTCAGACATTTCAGAGGGCAGGGCACCAAGGAGATCAAAGGAGAGGTAAGGGTCCCTAAGTCAAGGAGATAGGGTAAAGACACCTAGACAAATCGTGATGTCCTGGGAGCAGGTGAAACTGGCTTATGCTTAGAAGTCAAGGTAAAAATCTTCACATTATATAAAACAGGAATGTTTTGTCATGATAAATCAGCAAGGGGAAAAAAAAAACCTTATGTCACAAAACTCACAAGCCTGATTGGTTTTATTTCACAGGACAAGATCATGACCATTGCTTCCTGTACTGAAACAAATCATCAGCAGGTGTAACGGTCAATTGCTTCGCTACTCTGCATTCAGGGCATCAAACCCAAGCGACAGACTAATTTCCATGGAAGTGCCCAGGTCAAGGACCACCTTTCCACAAGCAGCGGCAGCCCTCTGCAGGCCCGTCAGTCAGTGCCAACAGCCAGCAGCGTGCACTCGTTTGGGCATGCGTCCACAGGAGGGAAGTGCTCCATAATCTATCTGCCCCTTCTAACCTCAGAAATGATAACAAAATAAGATACAAATGGTGACAATTAGAAAAGCCACAGACACAGATGTCTGGCATAACAGGAGTCAAAGACAGGAGGTACTAGCCTATGTCCAGCTCAACAAAGAGTAAGCAGGTCAGACGTATAAGGCTGCAGGGCTTTAGCACTAGGCAGTCCCGAACACGGAATCTCTGGATGTCTGGACTTTCCGCGCCTTCCCTTATTAATAGCACACACCTGTAAATCCCATCTGCCAGAGCACGTCTGCCTGCAGTGTCTGGGCAACCTGGCGCGGGATGGCTCTCAGCAGCCGTCTGCTCGAATGCCTTCCTGTAGCATGCCAGAACCCAGAGCCCAGGGAGAGACTGGCTCTTCTCAGGGGACGTGATGATTGCCACTTCTGGCTCCATCGGGTTTCATTGCAGGGTACTATGGGGTCAGCTAGATGGCAAGGAAGAGAAAGGTCAGAATAGAAGAGCAAAAGGAACGACACAATACCTGTCAGGCAAAACTACCCTAAACACAGATGATTACTGTTTGCAATTCTGTTGGAAGGAAAGTGGGGTTATCTTATTTCTCTAGAAGGATAGTCTCAATGCAATTATAATTACAGGACATTATTTAGCTGTCATATTATTCCCAAATAGTTCTTTACTTGAAATTTTCTAACCAAGTAAGGCAGAGAAAGACTGATTAACTAGTATTTTTTAAAAAGCTAAATGTGACACTAAAACTAAATGAAAACCTGATTTTTGATCAGCAACTTGTCCTCAATGAACCAGAAAGGAGAAAAGTTAAAGAAAATGACCCTAAGCATTCATGAAGTTTTAGTTTTACTAGAAGTTTTTACTAGATTTCTGGGCCAGGGAAAAGCCATGTTATCCCACTGAGCATCAAATATCAAAAGGACTTTTAACAACTATGTTCAATATTCTCAACATTCTTATCTGCTAGAATTTCACCTTTCAAAAAACAAAAGAACTACAAAGGACTGAGAAAAGGGGAATTTCTGAGGGTGATGGAATTATTCCACATCTTGATTTTGTTGGTGGATATTTGATAGTATAATTTTGCCAATACTTACAAAACTGTACTCTAAAAAGGAAGAATTTTACTACCTGTAAGTCTCTTTATTTTTTATTTCTGTGACAGAGTCTTTTTCTACCTCCAGGCTGGAGTGCAATGGCGCAATCTTGACTCACCGCAACTTCTGCCTCTGGGTTCAAGCAATTCTCCTGCCTCAGCTTCCCAAGTAGCTGGGACTACAGGGATGTGCCACCATACTCAGCTAATTTTTTTGTATTTTTAGTAGAGACGGGGTTTTACCATGTTAGCCAGGATGGTCTCGATCTCCTGACCTCATGATCCGCCCGCCTCAGCCTCCCAAAGTGCTGGGATTACAGGCGTGAGGCACCCCGCCTGGCCAAGTCTTGTTATTTTTAAAAAGCAAAGGAAAAAGGTAATACCAAAGAACTGGTCTAAGACTTTTCCCTCTACCTTTCAAAGACCATGTTATAATGAACAAGTGATGTTTTAAATCCGTTTTAAGAAGAGAAAATCTATAATACTAATACAGTTCTGTTTCTAAAGTAAATCATTGTCATTTGCATTCTAACCTTACCAGGCTATACCCATGTAAGTACAGGGACCTGGAAACATACACGGTCATGCCAATTTTGGTAAGTACATATTTGCACAACCCAACTGAAATGGTTCTTAATTGAAATTCCTGGTCTGAGTCTGATCTTTAAGTCAACAGCATGGGACAGTGCTGGAGGTGCTGGCTGAAGACCAACACCGAGACCAGGAAGGGGTGTGCTCTGCATGACCTTGACAGGCCAGAATACACCTCCAGTATTACACTAAGTTCAGGGCTTCACAACTTTAGAACAATTGAGAAAAACTAATACATTCAAAGAAAAACACTTAAAATGAGGAAAGGACTTGAAATTATGTCATCTGAGTAACTGAGGGAGGAACTGGGGATTAGCTTGGAGAGAAGAAATTGCCAAAAGGCACACACCATGGGTATCTTCAAATATCGAAAAGACAGCTATCTTCATCATATCTTTAACTACTGTCTAATAGAAAACAGGTAGGCTCTGTCTTACGGCCTATGGGATAGAACCCAAGGCATGGGATCCAGAGTGAGAACAGTGTCAGCCCAAAATAAAACAAAACCTTCTACGAATAAGAGCCATAGAAATCGTTAACATTTGGTTACAACGTCCTGAACACTCTACTAAGCTTTCTTCACATGTATTATTTCATGTTATCTTCATGAGAGCCTCTGAAGTAAGGTGTATCATCTCCAATTTAAGAATGAGAAAAAAACTGATGCTTCAAGATGGAAAAGGCGCTGACTGCCGGTCACAGCGAACTTCAGGAAGCACGGGCACAGCAGTGGGCAAGTTTCCCCTCTCAGGGGAAAACTCAGGACACGCACAGTGAAGATGGTGTCCAAGGGAATCCCACCTCCAGAGAGTCTAGGATTCTTGTGCTACAATTAGGCAACTCTGTGTCTCCTAAAGCATTCTAGAGCTCTTTACGGTAACTGAAGTAAAAATAAATTAAAATAGCACAACGTATACCAGGTTTGACTGCCAATCTATTTTCCTGGGCTATTTTTGGGTGTTACTGCTTTATAAGGAAAATAATAATACAATAACATCTGGAGTACCAGAAAAGGCTCTGAAAAAGTCAGACACCTGAAGTCTACATCTGGTTTTACTAAGGAAATTAAACTCTTCAGTGCCTGTGTATGTGTGTGTTTTTTTTAAATGCAGCAAAACCTCAGAGGCTCTTAGGCCTAGAACATCACAAAGAAGAGCAAAATTTTATTTTTTATTTTTTTTGAGACAGATTCTCACTCTGTCACCAGGCTGGAGTACAGTGGTGCGATCTGGCCTCACTGCAACTTCTACCTCTGAAGTTTAAGCAATTCTCCTGCCTCAGTCTCCCAAGTAGCCGCGATTACAGGCACGTGCCACCACACCTAGCTAATTTTTGTATTTTAGTAGAGACAGTGTTTCTTCAGGTTGGCCAGCATGGTCTCGATCTTCTGACCTCAGGTGATCCGCCTGCCTTGGCCTCCCAAAGTGCTAGAATTACAGGCGTGAGCCACCATGCCCAGTCAGAAGAGTAAAATTGTTAATTTCTTTTTTCTTCTGACGAAAGAAATGATAGTAAACAATAACAGAACTAGCAATTTGTTAACCTGATTTAAGATAAAAAGGAAAAAAAAACTCTTTTCCTTTGGTAATATGTATCTTTGGAAAATATCATTTAATAAATATGCAATGTATTATTTGGGCTAAACTCTATCTTGATAAGCCCAATTGCAATGAAGCAGGAAAGACTTAGCCGTGGAGAAGAAAAGAAAAAACCGAATACCTTCCATCCTCACACCTGCATACCTGATGACTTAAATAAACCCAGCTGATGCATGACCATTCCTGGTCAGGAGGCTTTGAGAAAAACAAAATGAAACTCAAAGAAAACATGTTTTGCAAGAGTACCTTAAAAAATGAAAACACACGCTAAGCAAAATGCAAGGAAGAAGCAGACATAAGGATGTGTCTTTCAGCACAAGAAGGCAGCTGCAGCCTTAGTCTGAAGGCTCTGATGAAGCTGGCAAAAATCATTTCCAACAGAAACAAACATCACTAACATCTACTACTGCAAACCCTCAGATTTTATTCTACCAGAATAGTATGAAGTCTCTTTTTAAAAAATAATTCCACCCCCCCACTACCAGCCTTGTGCACTAAAAAAACAAAACTAAACTAAAAAATGTCTACCAGGAAAATGTTCACAATTAGCCAACTAGATGGAAGAACACGGATATTCACTGTACTATTTTTCAACTACTCTGCAGTTTGGGATTTTTCAAAGTGAACTGCAGAGATATCAATTTGCCTAAGGTCACAATACTCACATTCAGCATACTTGAGGGATCGAAAGACTTTCCGCTGGGGCGTGACCCGTTTGATGTTTGGATGATCTTCAAGTGTTAGCAGCCCGGCTTTCTGTTTTTCTTTGATCTGAATCACCTCAAAATCACTAGGGTAGTCACTGGATGGATTGTTTCGAGGTATAATTCTCCAGTTGTCCACTTCACTGCTCTTCAGGGCACTTGAAATAAATGAATTTCTAGCTTTGGCTGTAAAGTATCCATTGAAAGCCACAATATATTCTGAAATCAATCACCACAAACAAAAATAAGAATTTATGCACATACATTATAACATATACTATACTATAAATCAGGCAAAAGAAAAATTATCTTAAAGCCTACAGTAGAAAAGAGGAAAACACAAAGACCAGTTTAAATACCTAGACAGCTGGTTGCAGAGCTTTGAGTAAAAATGATCCATATGAATCATGTAATCACACAGAATGCATCACTGAATACCAGCTATATTTTTTTAAAAAGCAAAGGTGTTGCACAGTGGCTCACACCTGTAACCTCAGCCCTTTGGGAGGCAGAGGCCGGTGGATCATAAGGTCAGGAGTTCAAGGCCAGCCTGGTCAACATGGTGAAATCCCATCTCTACTAAAGATACAAAAAATTAGCCAGTCATGGTGGTGCACGCCTATAATCCCAGCTACTAGGGAGGCTGAGGCAGGAGAATCACTTGAACCAGGGAGGCGGAGGTCACAGTCAGGCGAGATCATGCTATTGCACTCCAGCCTGTGCAACAGGGTGAGATTGTGTCTCAAAAAAATTCATAAAGCCGGGTGTGGTGGCTCATGCCTGTAATCCTAGCACTTTGGTAGGCCGAGGTGGGTGGATCACCTGAGGTCAGGAGTTTAAGACCAGCCTGGCCATCGTGGTGAAACCCCATCCTTAAATAAATAAACAAACAAACAAACAAACAAATACCTACAGAAGTTTGAATACACAACAAAGAAATGTATATAATTTTTTCAAATAGGAAAAAGAAACTTCAGAGAAGTGAATGCTCAGTTAGTGTTTTTTAAAACGAAAACAATAACAAAATTCCAGAGTGGATCATGTGAGACTATTTGCTTCGTTCTTCGCATCTAGTCACGCGAACTTTAGAACATAAACATTCATCAACTCCCTGCTCCCCACACCCTCACAAACTACAATGGCACCTGTTCCAAAGAATCAAGGTGAAGGCTGGGTACAGTGGCTCAATGCCTGTAATCCCAGCACCCTGGGAGGTCGCAGTAGGTGGACTGCTTGAGCTCAGAAGTTTGCCAGCCTGGGTAACATGGTGAAACAAAAAATAAAAAAATTAGTGGGACATGGTGGCAAGTGCCTGTAGTCCCAGCTACTCAGGAGGCTGAGGTGGGAAGATCACTTGTGCCTGGGAGATCAAGTTTGCAGTGAGCTGAGATGACGCCACTGCACTCCAGCTTGGGCGACAAGACAACAAAAAGAAGGTGTAGGTAAATAATTAATGTCAATTTCCTTGTACCAAGCTTACTCTACTAGGAAAACAAACTGAAGCAAAGTTAATATTCATGTGCTGTGCACTCAACCCATTGGAAATTTACTATAGAAGGCCAGGCACTTGGCTCACACCTCTAATCCGAGCACTTTGGGAGGCCAAGGTGGGTGATCACTTGAGGTCAGGAGTACAAGACCAGCCTGGCCAAGATGATGAAACCCTGCCTCTACTAAAAAAAAAAAAAAAAAAAAAAAGAGTAGGTGGATACAGGGGCGGTTACCTGTAATCCCAGCTACTTGGGAGGCTGAGGCATGAGAACTGCTTGAGCCTGGGAGGCGGAGGTTTCAGTGAACCAAGGTCATGCTACTGCACTCCAGCCTGGGCAACAGAGTGAGACTCTGTCTCAAAAAAAAAAAAAAAAAAAAAGGAAAAGAAAAGAAAAAAAACTTTACTGTAGAAAAGAGGAACATGTTCTTCAGCAACAGGTAATTTTATATTAAGTAGGCTTGAGAAAATAAGACGGGCGCTCCTAACATTTAGAACAGTATCATTACCATATTCCACAACTGTTGATGAGAATTCCACTTTCAAAGTCAGGTGGGAACAGCCAGGGCATGGGGCCTTTTCAAAAGATTTCTGTTCCAGTCTGTCACCCAGATGTTTCTTCCCACAGAGCAAAACCACTAGCAGAAGCAGCCAGATGTTGATAAGCTTCATGGTCAAAAGCGAATATGATCATAAAATTGCATAAATTCAAATCACACTTTTTTCTTCTTGATTAGAAGTGAATTTTTGTTTTGGCTAAAAGCTGCAACATGACTGACCAGCCATCTCACAGTCTTGTCCAACGTAAATAAAAGTTAAACCCCATGGCCTTTTGTGGCTTGGCCTGAAGAGAGGCTTTCATTTCTTTCTCCGCTTCTTCTCCATCTTGGACATAAGGCTTCTCTCACTCAGGCCGTGATGACTGAGTCCTGAACTCCATCTGTACCACAGAACCAAGGTCCAACGGGGTTGATCAACCAACCGCTGTGAACCAATCTATGAAATAAAAAACAGCGCACAGAGATATTAGCGGCAAACTGACATAGCCAGGTATGATTTAGTTGTATTTATAATTTACGCAATTGGGTCAGCCAGGCAAAGTGGCAAGTGCCTGTAGATCAGCTACCCAGGAGGCTGAGGTGGGGGGATCACTTGAGTCCAGGAGTTTGAATCCAGCCTGGGCAACAAAGTGAGACCTTACATCTAAAAGAATAAAATAATAAAATAAATAAGAAGGTAAAAAAGATATCCCAGTTTCAAGACAAATTAATATGCCAAACAACCATGAAACATATTCATTTTTATTTACTTATTCCTGACTGCTTTCAGGGGAAAATTTTTTTTAGGCAACTTCAAAAATAAAACAGAATAAAATAAACAAGAAAAATGGAAAAAACTAAGGAAACAAAATAACGTCAGAAGTATTAAGCGCACTGGACCTGAGCATTCTAGCAGCCACAGAGAAGAAGGCGTCGGGATGATCCTTTGTTGGGTTTCAGATTCTGTATTTCTATCATTTGCAACGCAATCCCCAGAGCATTTTTCCAGGTGGCACTTTGACTTCCCACAAATTTCATCAATTTTTCTAGCAAAAGCTTGGCATATATCCTTACTTTCTGCTGTAATATTAATATCTAACAGAAAAGTAATCTCCATAAAGGTGACATTTAATACCTTCAAGAAACACTATGCTTTAATATTACAGATTTTGAAATATTCTCTACCAATTCTATGAAAAGAGCAAAAAAAGGGTTTTTACTGTCCTGAGGTTTATTTTACCGGACACCTCACACTCAAAGACATGTAACCCACTCGATCCATTATAAAACCAGATTATCTCTTTACCGGACCGACATAAAAGGACAGTGTATGAGGAAAGCTACTGCTAAAGAAAAATGTCATTTGAATATTATATTACGCACGGGCACATCTGAACTGTAAGAATAACAGCCATTCCTCACAATGAAAAACAGAGCAACAGTAAAGAACAATGCTGGCTGTAGCCTGCCCAGAAAATCAGTTGCACAGACTATACCTGCGGCATGAATAATCCAGCAGAGTGGGCGATGGGTGAATGAAGCAAGGGAGGCCTTCCAGTGCTACTTAGGTTTTGTTTTTTTTGAGGAAGGGTCTCACTCTGACACCCAGGCTGGAGCGCAATGGCAGAATCTCTGCATGGTTTACTGCAGCCTTGACCTCCTGGGCTCAAACAATCCTCCCACCTCAGCCTCCCAAGTAGCTGGGACTATAGGTATGCATCACCACGCCCAGCTAATTTTTGAATTTTAACATAGAGAAGGGGTCTCGCCAGTTTGCCTAGGCTAGTCTCAAACCCAAGTGATCAAGCCACCTTGGTCTCCCAAAGTGTAGAGACTACAGGCATGAGCCACCATGTCTGGCCACTATTTGTTTTTTGTTTATTATACTTTTAGTACTGAGATACATGTGCAGAATGTGCAGGTGTGTTACATAGGTATACACATGCCATGGAGTCTTGCTGCACCCATCAACCTGTCATCTACGTTAGGTATTTCTCCTAATGCTCTCTCTCTCCAGCGCTCCCCCCACTGTGTCCATGTGCTGTTCAACTCCCACTTATGAGTGAGAACATGCAGTGTTTAGTTTTCTGTTCCCGTGTTAGTTTGCTGAGAATGATGGTTTCCAGCTTCATCCATGTCCCTGTAAAGCAGGTCAACCCACCCTTTTTTATGGCTGCATAGTATTCCATGGTTATATATATGTTGCATTTTCTTTATTCAGTCTATCATTGATAGGTATTTGGGCTGGTTTCAAGTCTTTGCTATTGTGAACAGTGCCGCAATAAACATGTCTTTATAAAAGAATGATTTATGGTCCTTTAGGTATATACCCAGTAATAGGATTAGTGGGTCAAATGGTATTTCTGGTTGGAGATCCTTCAGGAATCGCCACACTGTCTTCCACAATAGTTGAACTAATGTACCCTCCCACTAACAGTGTAAAAGCGATCCTATTTTTCCACACCCTCTCTAGCATCTGTTGTTTCCTGACTTTTTAATAATCGCCATTCTAACTGGCATGAGATGGTATCTCATTGTGGCTTTAATTTGCATTTCTCTAATGACCACTGATGATAAGCTTTTTTTCGAATGTTTGTTGGCAACATAAATGTCTTCTTTTGAGAAGTGTCTGTTCATATCCTTCACCCACTTTTTCATGGGGTTTTTTTTTTTCTAAATTTAAGTTCCTTGCAAATTCTGGATATTAGCCCTTTGTCAGATGGATAGATTGCAAAAGTTTTTTAAAAAGGAAAACATTAACGACAAGGAGTTAGTCATCTATCAGGAAAGGTACTTCAAGTTATAAAACTCATTCTTCTGGCAGAAACTGGTGCTTTTGAGTTTTTGGTTTCTGGAACTATCAATATGTGCTCTACAAGCAGAAAAACACTGATAATGTACTGTGAGGGGTTAAAATATCCAAAGAATGTTTTAAAATTTACTAAGTATGGACTTTCACTGCTGTAATAACAAATGATCCTGAAAAACAAGCCTATCTCTGGCACTGGCACTGTCTACTAAGGGGCGTGGAACTTATCAGAGATGAGTGAAAGTTTAAAGCAGTTACAACCACCTCAAAAAGAACCATGAGAATGTCAACTCCAAGAGCAAAAACAAAGAGCCAAACAGAAAGATCAGAGACGCAGAGGGCACCCAAAGCCACCCTAACAGAACTTTCCTCAGGAGTAAGCCCTACTTCTTAGTTGCCTTATGCTTGATACATCCTGCAATGGAGCAGCAAAGAAAATAGTGACATGAAGCATATACCTAGCTTAAAGACTACTGGCCAAAGAAGACCAACTGGTAAGACAGTTCTCCTATCACAGTAAATGCATTATATTTAAAAGATATTTATTAAATAGGTTCCTCACTCAAGGCAGGTTTTTTGTTGTTGGTGTTGAAAAGGAAAGAACAATCATTTGAGGCCAGGAGTTTGAGACCAGCCTGTGGAACATGGAGAAACCCCATCTCTACAAGAAAATTTAAAAATTAGCCAGGCATGGTGGTGTGCCTGTTGTCCCAGCTACTCAGGAAGATCGCTTGAGCCTGGAGGGTTAAGTGGGCCAAGATCACACCACTACATTCCAGCCGGGGTGACACAGTGAGACTCTGTCTCCACTTAAAAAACAAACAAACACGCCTCTTAAAACTATTCTGCCTCAAGCTAAAGAATCCATGACACATTTGGGCTACATATAACACAAATATAAGTAATAGTAGTGAGAATATCTTAGACCTAACTGGTTTAGATCAACTTTAATTAAACCTGTTCTAAAATAATTCACTCACAGGTAAAGACCGTGAACTTGTAACAGCCCATGCAGAACAGATGGCTGATGTTCTCCTACAACTTAGGTAAGTACCTAAGGGCCTGGGGGTTTTTTAATGAAAAAAAAAAAGCTGGGCACAGTGGCTCACACCTATAATCCCGGGCATGTTTCCACTTTTGGAGGCTGAGGTGAGCAGATCACTTGAGGCCAGGAGTTGGAGATTAGCCTGGCAAACATAGTGAAACCCCATCTCTACTTAAAAAAAAAAAAAAAAAAAAAAAAAAAATTAGTTGGGCATTGTGGTGCATGCCTGTAATCCCAAGTACTTGGGAGGCTAAGGTAGGATAATCGTTTGAACCTAGGAGGTGGAGGTTGCAGTGAGCGAAGATTACAACACTGCACTCCCGCCTGTGTGACACAGCAAGACTCTGTCTCAAAAAAATAAAAAATAAATAAATAAATGAAAAAAATCTCTAAGGTAACCAGTTCTTCCCAAAATTAAAAATAATAACAATAAACTTGGGATTTTTGGAAAACAGAGAAAGCAATTATTATCGTAAGACATTCTACCCTAACTTACTCATTAGATCAGGCAATTTTAGAGTACTTCCCAAGTTAAGATACTATCAGGTACTGCAGAACAAACACAGATTATTAGCTAGTCAGGACACAACCTACCAAGTGTGATCTAGTTAAATTAAGGGAGGTCAAACACAAACCACTAAATAAAAAGCAGGAAATGAAAATGTCAAAGGAGAGGCAAGTCTCCAGTGCCATAGAGGCTGAACCGAGACACAGCTCTCTCCGGGGTGTGAAGAGGTGGCTTCTGCTTGGAGGGGGCACTGCAGTAGCTCTGCAGAATGTGAGCTTGGCAGGACTGAAAGATGGGCGTGAGGGAGGGAGAAGCGGAGCATCCCAAGCATGGAGACACAGGGAGTGCACAAGGATCAGCACCACCCAGCCTGAGGAGGGAGGCAAGAAGGTGCCCTCTGGAGAGGCTGAAAGATGAGGGGGAGGAGAGGACCTCAAGCAGGAACACCTGGCCAACAACCGGAAACTCGGACCTCCTCCATCCAATGGTAGTGAATAACACAGAGATAAAACACAGCCAAAGGGTGAGACTGCTGAGCTAATACTAAAAGCCAGGCACTCTTCTAGGAGTAGGAATAGAGTAATGAATAAAATAGGATAGATTTTGTATTTAGCTGGTGATAAAAATTACATTTGGGAAGAAGAAAAAACAGCTGGGCATGGTGACTTATACCAGCACTTTAGGAGGCCGAGGCGGGAGGATCACCAGAGGCCAGGAGTTCAAGACCAACCTGGCCAACATGGCAAAACCCCATCTCTGCTAAAAATACAAAAAAAAAAATTAGTCAGGCATGGCGGGGGGTGCCAGTAGTCCCAGCTACTTGAGAAACTCAGGCAGCAGAATCACTTGAATGCGGGAGGCGTAGGTTGCAGTGAGTCAAGTTCGTGCCACTGCACTCCAGCCTGAGTAACAGGAGTGAAAAACCATCTCGAAATAAATAAATAAGAAAGAAAAATAAAGAAAAGAATACGGCAAGTCAGGAGAGGGTTGGCTTTCTACTACAGTGCTGCCTACAGCAGCTGCTGAAAAGGAGCCTTTTCAGTGAAGGTCTGAACGATGCTGGAAGCTGGCCAAGGGTTTGGGGAAAGAGCATCC